TTTAGGGTTTTAGGGTTTAGGGGCCCCCTAATTAGGGAATATAGATCTGTATGAAATTATCGGGGCCTGGATAGTTTGGCTTAAGGCATCTTCTTTGATTAAGGATATTGGGATCTCTTGCTTCAGGGTTGGGGGCCGGGTATAGAGTTTAGGGTTCTGTTGGAGTGTAGAGATTTCGGGATTCGAGTTTCGGGTATAATGACATTTAGTGGCTTTAGTGACTGTAGTGGTTTGGGGTTGTAGGCTGTAGAGGGCATCGGGGTTTCAGGCTCTGCACGGCCTCATGGTTTCAAGGTTGTCAAGACTTTGAGGCTTTAGGCGCTGCCCAGGGTTCTTGGCTTTCGGCACTTTTGAGCTTTTGGCATTAAGTCTTGGGTCGAGGGGGCGTTCGCTGGCTTTGCAGTGCATTCCTTTTGCGACGAACTCGATCTTGTACCCTAAAACCCAAAACCCTACACCCATCTTGTTGCGCACATTTGGCATGAGCCCGAAACTCCTTTTGCAAGGTTCGGGTTTACGTGTTCGTTGCTTTTGTTAGTTTCGGGCCTCATGATGATGGATGTGCGGCTGGATTCAGGGTGATGGAAAATGGAAGCTGCATTCATGTTAACCTCTTTCGTTGCTTTTTGGTTGGTTTTTGTTCTGTCGTTAATACTTGTTTCAACCTTGTTTGTGTCTATCGAGTCTTAGTTGAAGCATGTCCAAAACAGACGAGTCCTCCTAAGGAGCCCTAGACGCAGTCACTGGTCACCGTATTCCAAAGCCACTCAAAGCGTCAAACCACTAAAGCCCAACGGCCCTTACGTTTGTAACCCGAAGCCTTAAACCCCTAACCCCTAAACCCTAAACCCCTAAACCCTAAACCCTAAACCCTAACCCCTAAACCCCTAAACCTCTAAACCCTAAGCCCTAATATCCCCCAATACTTATTAACCCTGCAGGCGACCTTGAAGGCATCCTACCCTCATGCAGGGGCGCACGGCAGGCCGCCGCCAGGTTTTATTGGCTTTTGGGGGCTTGTAATATGGGGGGCCTGAATAATTACCTATATTTTGGGGGGTTCCTTATTATAAATACAGTAAACCCTAAACCCTAAACCCTAAACCCTATTCATACTCTTAAGGCCCTTACAGTACTGGGTAGTTTCGAGCTCGGGTTCCCTAAGCCCCAAGCTAACTTAGCTAATGGGAGAGCTGCAAAGTTTTTTGGCCGTAAGGGTTTGGTTTAGGGTTTAGGGTTTAGGGTTTAGGGTTTAGGGGTCTATCTGAGTCTATCTTAGAAAGTTTGAACTGTTTTGGGACCGGTTGTGGATGAGAGCAAACCTCGAAACAATCCTAGACCCTAAATTTCCGAAGCCCTGCACCCCAAACCCCTAGACCGATCTAGACCGCCTAAACCTTCAACCCCCAGAAATGCCTAGTCCCCAAAACCCTAAACCCTAAACCCTAAACCCTAAACCCCTAAACCCCTAAACCCTAGACAAAGGCTAAAGGCTTCAGTCGAGCTCGGACTTTATAGCGAATCCCAGAACGTTGGAGCATGGATTTCGGATGATCAGTGCTGCAATCCCCTCTACCTTCATTTCAACGCATGAGGCAAAAACGATGTTCTAAGATTCGGGCTTTTGTAGCTTTGAAAGTTAGAGGCTTCGCTTAAACCCAAAGTCCTTCAGAGCTTTAGGGTGCTACAAGGACAGGGAACCTTCGACGTTCATGCACGCAGGTCGTTACTTAAACCTACATGGCGTCACGTTTTGCTTTGAGGCTTAAGGGTTTAGGACGTTCTGTAGCTGCTGAGCATTGAACTAAGTCGTGCATTCCATCAATTAGTCGATGGTCCCTGTCGGCTGCCCTGCGTACCCTTGGAACACAGACATTGATAATTATTTAGGCCCCTAACCCTAAACCCTAAGCCCCTAAACCTTAAACCCTAAACCCCTAAACCCTAAACCCTAAACCCCAAACCCCTAAACCCTACACCCCCAAACCCTAAACCCCAAACCACCACCATCATATTTATGCCCCGACAGTAGGGCTTAGATGGGATCCGAAGTTCCTGCTCTTTGAATCAGGGAGGCTCGGAGTTCAGGGTTAATTTAGGGTTTAGGGTTTAGAAGTTTAGGGTTTAATTCGGGGTTGAGGGTTTAATTAATTTGGGGTTTAGAAGTTTAGGGTTTAATTAGGAGCAATTGCTGAAGTGAAGCTTGCCATAGAAGGGGCTGACAGAGCAAAGCGCTCAGAACTCGCTCCCGCTTTACAGGCACCATGGAAGTCGCGCATTCGTGCTACACATACGTAGGCACGATGATTGACACCGACTCTCCTTTCTACCTTGAGCTTCATAGGTTCATCACCGGTGCTCAAGAGAATGCGCATGAGCGGCCCGGAAAGGAGATCATACTTGACGCCTCCAAACTCACTGTCCGCGACAAGGCGACCCATCACAAGATGCAGATCCAGAATGAACTTCAGCTTTCCCACTAAACTCTAAAGCCAGAATAAGAAAGCAGGAAGCTCCGAAGCCAAAAACCCACATCATGAGGGAACACCCTGTAGAGTTTATGGGTTTGGGGTTTAGCCGTGAAGGCTTTCTGTCTAAGGTGTCTTTCAAGCCTGTCCTTGAATCCTCAACCTACCTTAATCTACCAAAACCTACTTTTTTGTAAGGTCCCTATAAATTCTATATTAAGGTTTATAATAAGGACCTACAAAAAAGTAGGTTATGGTAGTTCAAGGTAAACCCTAAACCCCAAACTCAAAACCCTATTCTTCAACCTTGACTCCCAGAACTGAAGCTCCCCCGTCAGGGTTATGACATACCGGCTGCCCAGATACGCGCGGGTATGCTACTCCTACTGCTTCTACCTTGGGAACTGAATCGGGTTTATGGCTTAGGACAGACCCTATATTCTTGGGGAATATAGGGGTCGGAACAATTGTTGATATTCTCCCCTTATAGTTCGTCTGTAATTGTATTTTAAGATGCCCCCAAGCCCTATTCCAATCATGAAGGTTAGATAGTACTTGGAATCCTAAACCCTAAACCCCTAGACCCTAAACCCTAAACCCCTAAACCCCTAAACCCTAAACCCTAAACCCCTAAGCCCCAACCCCTAAACCCCTAAACCCCTAAACCCTAAACCCTGAACCAGGCTCCTGGATGTAGCTCTGGGCTTCTCTGCTGCGGCAGCGACAAGGTCCTCACATGGCACTGCAATGTCCCTTCACTAGGATTTAGGATTGAGGGTTTAGGGGTTTAGGGGTTTAGGCTTTAGGGGTTTAGGGTTGAGCCCTAAACCCCTAAACCCTAAACCCTAAACCCTAAACCCTAAACCCTTGAGGGTGTGGGGGTTTAGGGTTTAGGGCTTTGGGTTTGGATTTAGGGTGAAGGGTTTAGGGATGACGTGTGTAAGGGGCCCGTGGGGCTGAGCAGGTTCTTTCCAAGTGTTGTTTAGGGTTTAGGGTTTAGGGTTTAGGGTTTAGGGTTTAGGGGTCTATTTCGGTTCTAGGTGCAATACTTTGATTCCGGGTCCCTAGCTCGGCAATTACTTAACGGAGGGACGCCCGCAGTCTCTGCGTTCTCACCGGAGGGATCACTTAGTTAAGACGAATATTATAAGCTAATACTTGTAACCCGTATCCTTAAAACCAAACCTTAATGCCCCAGATGCATGTCCTAACCCCTCCCTGAACCTAAACCCTAAACCCGAAACCCCAAACCCATACCCTAAACATTCCTGAGCACTCATGTTACGAAGCACAACATCCTAAAACTAAGTCCTCCAAGCCCTAAAGCCCCGGGCCCATATGCTTTTGCTGGACACCGCAAAGCCCCAACTTCTTTAGATACGAAGTACACCATAAGTTTTGGTACAATCTACCACCTGTCCGACTCCACCCTAAACCCTAAACCCTAAACCCTAAAACCCTAAACCCTAAAACCCTAAACCCTAAACCCTAAACCCTAAACCCCAAACCCTAAACCCTAAACCCTGTAGTACGCAGAGGCTGGTTGCGCGCCGCCACGGCGCCCGGGCCCGAAGGCAGGAAGGATGACACGCTTGACAGGATCGTATAGGGTTTAGGGTTTCGGGTTTTGGGTTTAGGGTTTTGGGATTAGGGTTGTGGGTGATTTTCAGGGTTTTGCACGGTTTTTCGATGGTATTTTCGAAGGGCACGGAAGGGCTTTGGAAGGTTTATGGGTGCTGTATCGCATTGAAGAGATTTCTCGGGGTTTAGAGACCGACAAAATTAGGCCAAGTAAGGATTGGTGGGGGCTGTCTATACTAGAGTAGAACAGGGAGCCCTAGAAGGAATGATATTGTTAATTACGCAGGAGTCCAATGGCTTTGTTGGGTTCAAGACGGGCTTGATTAGAGAGTGTATAGAGGTGTTTAAGATGGCCCCGCCTTTACTATCCCTGTAGAGTCATACCTTACCCGTCTCGTTAGGGTACCTACTTCTTTCTATGTAACAGGTCCAAGCCATAAAACTGGAGACACGTTAAAAGGGGGTAGGGTATGACCCTCTAGATTGCCCTAAACCCTAAACCCTAAACCCTAAACCCTAATCTAGATTGCCCTAAACCCTGAACCCTAAACCCTAAACCCTGAACCCTAAACCCTGAACCCTAAACCCTAAACCTAACCTCGAACCAGACAGGCTCTCAGTGTTAGCTTGTGCAAAATGCAAAAAGGTTGACATGTCACCGTGCAGAGACGGAGGGCGAGTTCGTCGCAGGCGCTTAAGGGGGTGGGTTTTTAGGAGCCTCCAATATTTGGGTTAGGGTTTAGGGTTTAGGGTAGATTACACTTGTCTGAGGGACTATACTATACTCTCAATATAATCCCAAAGGTTTGGCTTGAGCTCCCCTGTACAAGTAAGTTGGGGTTTAGGGCAATGTCCCTTAGCCATCGCTTGACACTGGGTCTTACAGTATCCGCAATTGAAGAGAACTTCCGTAGTGGCAAGAGCCTTCTCAGGAGCCTCTGCAAGAGCTCAGCAGTTCAAGAGTTTGCTTGCAGCGTGCAAGCTGTCCGTAGGGTGCAAGATGTTCATTCAAGGATGTTTAGAAGTTTAGAAGGTTAATATTTCAGGGCATCTGATGTTGAAGGTTTAGGCGTCAATCAAGCAATTTCTGGGATGCCGCTTAGAGGTCCGGAGGACTAGACCTTGAACTTGCGGGCCTTGCTGTGCGAGTATGTTGGGGCAGAAAGCCAGGACTATGGTAAGTATAATACGAATCTATAACCCAATCCAGGCAACCCTTTCTCTTGTGGGGAAGTAGATTTCTAATGGCTCTCCCGTCCAAAGGACCACCCTAAACCCTAAACCCTAAACTCTAAACCCTAAACCCTAAACCCTAAACTCTAAGCCCTAAACCCTAAACGCTAAACTCTAAACCCTAAACCCTAAACCCTGTCCCTCCGTGTTTCGCTGCTTCTGGCTGACAGTTCAGGGTGAAAGTTTCAAGACCTAGGTCACAGGTAACCATGAACACTAAAAGCCCCACAGCCCTAAACCCCGAAAAACCCTAAACTCGAAAATCCTAGCATCCTGAAACCGAAAAGTATCTTAGGTTTCGGGTTCTGGGCTTGTAAAGAGGCCTGAGTATGTGTCATATCAGGTTTTGTAGTTCTTCACTACATGTTTATAGACCGAGGAGCATAAGTTATGTGCGTAGCTCATAGCATGGTAAAGTATACCCCAGCTATTAAGGATTATGCTACATTGTGATTATCGTACACTACATCCCCAACTTGAGGGTATTGGGTGCACCAAACTGGCAGATTCATTTAATCATGCTTCGTGCCTCCATGCCACAAAATTGGCTCGTGCAATCATCGTGTAGCACTGCTGTCCATCATCTCAGCCATTACAACATGAAATCATAGTAATGTGTAGCGTTCTGGATGTTACTGCCACAAGCACTGTCATTGTCTGCACGCCCTCTAGGGTTCAAACTAGAACCCTCGAAACCCTAGCCCCACTCTAGTTGTCCACAACCTACATATTAGAATCGAGCCCCAACTTCAGACTTTAAGAAGATAGCGGTCCCTAAACCCTTAACCCTCAACCCCTAAATCCTACACCCTAAACCCCTAAACCCGTGAACCCCTAAACCCTAAACCCTAAACCGAGAGGTACTTCCATCTATGACCCCTCAACCCCTAAACCCTAAACCCTAAACCGAGAGGTACTTCCATCTATGACCCTTCAACCCCCTAAACCCTAAACCCTAAACCGAGAGGTACCTCCATCTATGATGACGACGGGTGGAGGCCCCAAGGCTGGTCCCCGGGTGGCACCGGGACGGGGACTCTGGACGTCGCGCCCTCAGCAGAGTTCCGAGTGAAGACGCCAGCAGGGTGGATTTAGGGTTTAAGGTTTAGGGTTTAGGGTTTAGGGGTTTGGGTTTAGGGTTTAGGGTTTAATGTAGGGGCCTTAAGAATTACCTATACTCTTTTGGGGGTTCCTTGTTATAGTTTTATTATAGAGGCCCTCTAAAACCCTATTTTAATTATTAAGGCCCCTATATTAGGGTGGGGGGTTTAGGGTGTAGGGTTTAGGGATCGACTACCCCAAACCGCTATTTTGGATGATGCGTATAGCAGAAGGACGTCCGCAGATCAGGTTCGTAGGTGGCTGCTCGGGGTCGGCAAGTTTTGGTGCAAGTGCTCTTCTAGGCGCCCGTTTTCCGTGTTGCAGGGTTTAGGGTTCAAGGTTCAGCCTTTAGTGCCGGGATGCGAGACATTTGCGGTTGCTGAGGGGACATCCTAGACAAGATGTCCCTATCCCAGTTTACAATGCCGCTGCTGCCCCCTACACCCTATAACCCCTAAGCCCTAAACATCAAACCCAGACCCTAAACCCTGACCCTTAAATCTTAGAGCCTAAACCCTGACCCCTAAACCTTAAACCTTAGACCCCTAAAAGCCTAGACCCTGCGGCAGGAGTGTTAGGGAAACCCACCTATATAAATACCTATATCGGGCCACATCTTTCTATTCGTTTGGAGGGTTGGGTAAGGGGGGGTGCCCCAATAGCCAGAGTCAATCCAATGTCTTGTGCTAAACCCTAAACCCTAAACCCTAAACCCTAAATACCCTAAACCCTAAACCCTAGACCCTAAACCGAGCTTATAAAGCTGATCTAACACTGACTCCAAGTCGGGCTGCAGGGTCGGCACATGCCTCGGCATGAGAAGCCTTCGGTTGTTGAATGGTTTGAGCGGCCCTGCTGTCGTCTCCACGCAATCGAGGGTTTAGGGTTTAGAGTTTTAGGGTTTAGGGTTTAGGGTTTAGGGAGCTGGAGTTATGTCACGGAGAGCCGGATGCTTCCGGTCCATACTGGTCTCAAAGGTATCATCGCACGGTGCACTTGGGGGTGCCCCTTTGCACGCACAGCCAGTCTGCCAGCAAAAGCGCTCCGCCAAGGATGACGTCCTTTGACCATGTCAACAAATACCAGACCATGGATTGGGAACCCTAAACCCTAAACCCTAAACCCTAAACCCCAAGGACAGATTTTCATGATGTTGTTCTCAGGTTGAGACGATCACGTAGAGCAGCGGATACAGCAGAGCTTGTCTCTTTCTACCTTCGCTACTGCGTGCCGGCCCTAAGTCGCCACGCACCCTGGACCCTAAACCCTAGACCCTAAACCCTAAACCCCAGACCCTAAACCCTAGACCCTAAACCCCAAGACCCTAAACCCTAGACCCTAAACCCTAAACGCCAGACCCTAAACCCTAGACCCTAAACCCTAAACCCTAGACCCTAAACCCTAGACTCTAAACCCGAAGCCCTAAGCCCTCAGCCTTCTTGAGGCATAGCTTTAAGAACGTCAGACTCCCGAAAGCCCCTCACAAGCCTAAATTCCAAATTCCCCAGCCCTGGAGTGCAGAGTTTGAGGTTTAGGGTTTAGGGTTTGGGGTTTAGGGTTTAGGGGTTCAGGGTCTAGGGTTTAGGGTTTGGGGTTTAGGGGTTTAGGGTTTAGGGATTTAGGGTCTTGGGGGTTTAGGGTTTAGGGGTTTAGGGTCTTGGCGGTTTAGGGTTTAGGGGTTTTGTAGTTTGGGTTTTGGGACGCAGGGGTTTAAGGTTTAGGGTTTGGATAGCCCCAAGCCTTTTCGAGACAGCACAGAGCGGATCTTGGCAAAAAATTCTCTCTAAACCCTGAAGACACCGAACCCTAAACCCTAAACCCTAAATTCTAAACCCCAAACTCTCAAACCTAATCTCCTATCCTGAAGCCGGAAACAGAAGCAGCAGCAAGCTCCGCACCCCCGCAGCAACAAAGAGATGCACTAATCAAAAGAACACAAGCGAACTCCAATAGCAATGGTAATAACCTCAATAAAGGTACGGTTGTTCAGCAAAACACAAACCAGAGTTAAACATCGGTAATATGCTTAAGAAAAAAGGAGTAAAATGCACCTTTTTTCCAAACAGGAAGAAGAAGAAGCAAAAACCCTAAACCCTAAACCCTGGACCCTAAAACCCTAAAACCCTAAACCCTAAACCCTAAGCCCTACAACCCTAAACCCTAAACCCCTAAACCCTACACCCTAAAACCCTAAAACCCTAAACCTTACTAAACCCTAAACCCTTAGCCCTACAACCCTAAACCCTAAAACCCTAAAACCCTAAAGCCCAAAACCCTACTAGACCCTAAAACCCTAAACCCTAAAACCCTAAACCCTAAACCCTAAACCCTAAACCCTAAACCCTAAACCCTAAACCCTACCTGCCGAGATGCTGCCGAAGATGGGGGTGGAGGAGAGCGAGGAGGAGAAGAAGCGAAAAGAGCCAACCGAGCCGGCCATGGTCCTGGAGGCCGACGGATAAGGTTTAGGGTTTAGGGTTTTAGGGTTAATTTTGGGCTTTAG